GACTCCTACTTCTAAAGGTCAGTCCAAAGCATTTGCCACATGCATCCCTCACCTCACTGTTTTCACAGTTTTCATTGCTACTGCTTGCATTGTCTATCTGAAGCCACCCTCAAATGTACCATCAATCACAGACAGGCTTTTTTCTGTGCTCTACACTGTGTTACCCCCAGCACTTAATCCTGTAATCTACAGTCTGAGGAACAATGATGTCAAGTGTGCTCTGAGGAGGTTGCAGATACTTGAAAAATACAGACAAGACCCTCTCTGAAAATGATAGAAAGGTTAAACCATTGCTAGGCTGAGGGGACTCTGCAACTATACTGATGCTAGTGCCCGTTTGATGCTCTATGATTTGTGAAATGATATGAACATCATGCATACAGCTGTAGGATCGCAGCATTGGTGAGTTGTCACCAATTTCATGAATGGGAGCTTTTTGTGATATAGCTGGGTTTGTCTCTTCCATAGTACTGTAAGTAATCCCAATAAACTCATTGGTTTTAAATGTTGCATTTTAGTGGAATTAGTTTTTTTATTTCTTTGTTTCTGTGTCTGGTGTGAGGAGGTATTGTTTCTCCAGAGGAACAACTACCACAAAAATTTTTCCACATGTGTCTATTAGCCTGCCTGTGGCCAGAAAGGTCTTACTTCTAACTATGTGCAGTTGAATTTTGCCATCATTATATAGAAAGATTTTGTAGAACAAACAAAAAATTCAGAAGAAATCACTTGTCCATGAAAGATTTCCCTTGGTGTGTTTTCCAATGCCTTAAAATACAAATTATTTTCTCTCTAATGTAAGAAATCCCTTTGGATAGTCTATGCTTTATTGGAATATCTATATGTCCTAGTTTTAATTCTCTTTTAGACTAAAAGGGGAATTGTAGGGGAAGCTGTAGCCACGCCTACTTAGGGGCTGGCAACAGCTTCCCCTACAATCCTTTATATTTAATTGTGTTTCATTTTTCAAAAAGTATAATATTTTGAATATATTGCCTCTCTCAATTATATTTACAATGTTTTATAGTCACACTGACAAAGGGTTACCAGACTCCAAGTCGTGAATTGAAACAATGTCTACCTTCCATACTTTATTTCATTTTAGCCTCACACATACTGAGACAAATTACTTATCTGTATCAACCAAGTAAAAACCTATCCTGAGGTATACTCTGTCCTCTTCAAAACCACTGTCAATAATAAAACCAATGAATGACTTAAATCTTCTGTGCTTATAAATAAATGTCCCTACTATGCTTGCCTCAACTCAAACCACTAGCTGTACATGATTTTGTTTGATTGCATAACAATGTTATCTGAAGACCTAAGTTAAAATAAAACAGGATTAAAATAAACCACATCACACTAGAGATAGCCTTTCTTATTTTTAGCCACAAACAGTTTTCCATTCTCTAGCAAGGTTTTCACAAAATTAATCTCTCTTCTATATGGTGTTCAGGTTTCAAATGTTTTTGCTTTCAAATAAAATTTTTGCTTATTGGTCTTTTGTTTCTGGTTATTGATTAGTTCATTGAGGAGGCAAAGAACTTGAAAAAATGTAGTCTTGTATTTCTTCCAAAACTCCTTCATTATATCTGTGGTCTCAAGTGAATCATTCTTGCAGCCACATTGCTAAAAAGAGTGCCTGAATACACACACTTAAACATTTTGTTCTTAGATCGAAGTCCTGGCAATCCAAATTCTTTCTTTGTGTTCTTACCTTTTTCTTTTTTTTCTACTTTTTGCCACCCATAATCATTCCTTCTACAGAATTAAATTCAAATAACTTTATTGTAAGCACAATGTAAGAGAGCTAAAAAACCATGTGCCTTATCTAGTTCTCAATGATACAATAAATAAGAATACAGAAGAGGTTCATGAAGCACCAACAATAACATAGAAAAGCAAAGCAAACAAGCAAGCATTGACAGAAAGGACTGCAAGTCCCTTCAGCCAGAGGTTACATGTAACAAAATAAAGCTTCTATATTAAAGTATTAACTATGTCAAACTCATACAGTTATATGTTGGTTCCAGGCACATGAATATGGAGCCCCTGTCATTGTTCAAGAAATAATAATAATTAAGAAAGAAAAGAAGGATTTTAAACAAATTAATCTAATAGAAATTTTGGAAATTAAAACCTTCTTAAATTAAAACCACCATTGAAAGTATTTTCAATATACTCAATCAAGAAAACAAAAGAGTATTGATGAAGGAAGACAGTGTTCCACTCAAAATAGCTCAAGGACCTTAATTCAAGACACGAAACCATGAAACCACCAGAGAAAAAATTTCAATGTAAAGCCATAGGAAAAGATTTTTTCAGATTTTTCACTTTTTATATTTTCAATAATTTTGTGAGTACTGGGTTTATATAAATTTCCAATAAAACTCTACTCCATTCATCTTTTTCTATATCTTTCTTTCAATTACTTTCAAATTAATTGTCTCTTTGTAGAAATTATTATTTCTACATACATGCATACACAGAGAGAGAGAAAGAGAGAGACAGAGACAGAGACAGAAAGAGAGACACAGAGAGAGACACACAGAGAGAACTACAACCACCACTACAAACAGGACAAACATCAACACCTATCACAGCCACCACTACACTGAATTATTTTTCTGCTCTAGTATAAAGGAAGAAACACTACCACAGCCACCACTACACTGAATTATTTTTCTGCTCTAGTATAAAGGAAGATTCAAATAAATTTCTTTATTTGATTGATGTCTATTGCTTTCTTAACATACATTAAGTTAAAGAATAAAGTATTAATGACAAGAGATTGTAGTATTTTATACAGAAAAAAACAAGTGAATTTTCCTATTAAAAAATGTAATGGATAAACAGTAAGACTATAAAACTGTTTATTGCATAGAATGAGAGTTAAAGATTTACTTTTTAAATTGAAGTAATGATTGTTTGCTAAATTATCTAAAATGTGTCCTCAAAGTTTTGGAACAAAATATACTTTAAACTTCATGTGAATTAGCCTAAATAAATTAAATGCTTCAACTGAAACATATCAAAACAGGAAAGAGAACAGAAAAAATATATACCCAAGAGTTTGGGGATATATGACATTGAAAATGGTGGAACAAATGTATAGAAATCTCTGGTACACAGGATTCTTGCAGAGGTGGAGTGATCACAGAAACTTTGATACTTTTTTACACATACATTGGAATTGTGCAAGTGAGAACATATTTGGTATAAATTGTATCTAGGGATTTATACAAAGAAGGATTGGAAAACAAAACAAAAAATGAAAATCATGAAAAGCCTGTGATAATCCATATTAATACTCTTCATATTTCTGTGGCAGAATACTTGACAACAAAGACTAGTGGTGGGAGGATTGAGTTTGGATCCCATGTTCAATAGGCACTGGCCCACTCTGGCAGGAAAGAGCTTGCATCTAGTAAGGCTTCATTTTGGGGAAGAGTGTGTAGTACCTGTATTCACATACTGGTTGACTGGGAGATTGAAAAAGCATAAGAAGCCAGACCAGGCTCTAAGCTTTGAGGGAGTTCTATACTTTTTTCTATCCACAAGTTAGGTGTCTATTCTTAATAATTCCCAAGCCTCACAAAGCAATTTGATTATCTGAGGACAACTGTGAAAATATATGAGCCTGTGAGTTTAACTTTACTAACAAACCTTAAGCATTAATTTATATCATAAACTAAAGAAGGAACTCCTTATATGGATAATGCAAAACCCATGTTAAATTGATAAGTGAGTAGCAACAGTCAAGGCTCACATTTTTCAGTATTTTAGTTATAACATGGAACCATAATACTTTTAGATAATTCAAGTATCTTCTTGTGAGTTTAGAATTCTTTTTTACTGTATTTCTTTTTATTACAAAGATTATTTAATTTTTATTTTGACAAATTTTTCTTCATATATTTTTATTTAAACATTTAAAAGTTGTCTACATTACAATATTTCTCCACAAACAGATGCATATGACTAGATGTATAACCTATAAGATATTGACTAACAAATTTTCATTTCAATGATATTAATTTGTCATATCAGAATCAAATATGTGATCAAATACCATAAGACAAATTGCATTTGTATCAATGGAAAATAGTTTAAAATTAGTGCAAAATGAAACTACACTTCAGAAATCTAAGGTGGTTAGGTTAGTGTGTCACAGTTGAAGAGAACTGTAAGATGTATTTTTCAGTCAAAAGACTATATGTGGAAACATATTATATGTGTGTATAACAATATAGTATATTGTGGAGAGAATATATATATATATATATATATATATATATATATGTTTTATTGAAGAACATATTGAAATAAAGTTTAATTATATAATTATTTATTGTGCTCATAAGCAAGCACCATAATCCAAGCCTGGTGAGCAAGGTCTGTAACCCCAAAACTCAGAAAAATGAAGCAGGAGGATAATGCTGAGTTGAGACTGTCTGAGTCTACATGCTTTCTCCCATCTCTCAAAAGAAATCTTTATTTTTCTTTCCCTCAAACATGCTTAAATTTTTCTGCATCTTAAACCAGTGAGATAGAAGACACTCATTTTCTATGCTAATGATATTTACACTCAAATAGAAGGCATTTGTGTTAACTGTTGAGATTTCCTGGGCCATCTGCAACCCAAACAGTAGAATATTAATTCTCTGCTAATTATATACATCTATTTTGTGTAGTCAGTACATTTTTCTGTCATTAATTCTTGAATCTATGCAGTCTGAATTCTATGGAACATATAATAACACTGGTCTATATATTAGGCTATAAACATACAATAGTATTTGCTATGATTTTGCATGAGATCAGACTTTGGAGGGAAGTCCAAAGGCCAATGAAAACAAATATGCCATGCATATGGAGCCTATGTGGGGAGTTTTATTGGGGGAAGGGAAGAGAGTGGGGAATGGGAAGAAGGCTTAGGCTGGTTAGGGTCTCGTAATTAAGGGAGGGTGGGGTGCAATTGAACTGTTTGAGTTGAATCCAAGTCTACTACCTGGAACTTATGATAATTCTTTGAGTTGGTGAAAAGAGTTTAAGACATATTGATATTTCCCCTACTACTGTCTTTTTGTACTCTGTCCTGGAATTCGAACTATAGAAATAGCAATATATCGAGACACACTTTACCCCTGTCCACACTCACCCCTCTGTCCTGCAGTGGGTGCCCAAGCATCAGGTGAGTCTAGGCAATGCTCTGCTCTCTCTCCTCCCCCATCAACCTCTGCTCGCTTCTGTGAGCAGACCCCT